TAGTCTGCTGCGCCACCAAGGCTCTTAATTAAATTAATTAAGATGTTTTTTCCAAAAGGCAACTGGAGTTTCTTCGATTTTTTTTCTTTGAAAATGTTTTACTTCACATCGAAGAAGCTTCTTCAGTTCTGAAGAATTAGATGCTTTCCGAAGAACTAAAGAAGCTTTGTGGATGAGAAGCGGAACATTTTCAAAGAAAAAAAAAACACAAGAATTTCCAGTTGCCTTTTGGAAAAAGCACCTTTGGGATAGTTGGGCAATGAAACATCTACAATCAACCAAGAGAGCATCAAAGGCTCCATAGTTCATCCCTAAGTTACAGATATTCTCTTCTAATGTACTACTACTTTTGGTACATTAGAACATATGTCTTGTTCTTAAGCATTTATAATTAGAATTCTTATTTACGAAGGAGACTGAAATATACTCTATCTCACTGAGTTAAGAGGCACTATCCCACTTCACTAGGGCAAAAGTTTAGTTCAGGGGTGTCAAACACACACCTGCGGGGTGCTTAGATCTAGCCTGCGGGGCCGCCCTGGAAACAGTGAAGGACGGGTCGATGGTGCCTCTGCCAGTGAAAACATTTTCACTGGCAGAGAGTTGCAGGAAGCTATTGAAGCTGAAAGCGGAGCTTGGGAACCTGTTTTCGCTGGCAGAGTGCTCAGACCACTACAGGCGCCCCCAACACAAGTGACGTTGAGCTGGCCATGCCCACCCCAGCCCCCGAGGTCAATGAAATCGAGTTTGACACCTCTGGCCTCATTGACGATTTGATCATCTCATCCTAGTGCATAAATAACTCAGATTGGAACATTTTCTTTCGGATATGACTCAGTGCCTATAAACAAATTTTATGCCTGTGTCATATGGAAATGATAGGAAGGAGAGAGCAAATCAAAACTGAAACAAACCAAAAAAGAACGGCACCCAAAAGAGTAATGTGCTCATTGTGCTTGTGTTTGCGTCTGCCTTAAGATATTAAAGATGCATGTATGCATGTTGCAAACAAGGATGATTATTTGTATATTTATATATAAGCCAGTCAACCAATGCAAACAAATTTTAGTTATCTGGAGTCAATAGGTTCACAGCCCAGGAGCCACTTTGCAAAGCATTGCAAATGAGGTTTTTTTTTTTTAAATTATAGTGAATTAGATATAATATAATTGTACAAGATGTGCAAAAGTACTCAGTTCTTCTGCAATTCAGACGTTCCTGAAAAATCAAAGTGCGACTCCTACTCTTTCCTCCCACCCACCAACCCATCCCCATCCCCATCTTTGCACCCTCATGGCAACCCTGGAAGCTCATGACTTCATTTTGTTTAAGTAGAGAAGAACTGCAGGAGACGTCAACAAGCGTCAAGAAGAAGCAACAACCTCGGCAGCCTGGGGCTGAGGACTGCGTGTGAGTGTGAGTCAGACAGAGGGCTGAAAGCATATGTGCAGAGAAAACCGGTCTGTGAATGGTTTGCCACGAATAAACTGCCTGCTCCCCTGACATTGCAGAAGGGATCTTTGCAAGCTGATGAGTTCATTTTGTGGCTTGAAATGTGCCGGTGCGTAAAAGGAGAAAGATTTTTGTTGCAATCCAGACACATTTGGTTCATCCTCCTCCCACCACTGTAAACCGTAGCAAAATAATTCAGTGTAACGTAAGGTGATATTATACGGATTGTGACCTTGTCTTGCAGGAGCTGCTTATGTTTGTGGGGGTTTTCTTCCCCAAGAAAACATAACAGTATCATGCATAAAGAAACAAAGTTAACTAATAAAATACTTTGCAAAAGGAGATAAAGCTTGAAGAATCATTTATTCAGGGAATAATAATAATGTATTTAGTTGAATAATTTATATGGCTGCCCACCTCACAACAGTGACTCTCTGGATGATGTACACGGATTAAAGCCTAACAATGAAAACAAACATAACATAAATGGAAAACCTGCAGTGATTTTCCATTTATGAGCCATTGGCTTGAGAGAATCAAGCATGCTGCAGCAGTAGAAAAAGAGATACTTCCCACAAACAAACCAACACATAAAGATTCTCTTTTCAGACCATTATATTATTTACTATATTCACAACTAAAGATTTGTGAATACAGAGTCCAGCAACTTGTTGAACTAAATTTTGGAAAAACTGCTTTTGTGATCCTGGATTTGCTTTGATACATCTCTTGATAATTGGGATTGGTTTCCATAAGAAGTGCAATATTGTTTTTATATGGGAACTCTGCTAGATCTGGAGTGTACTGCTGCGTAACTATATATTATGCTACATATTACAGAACTGTATACAAGAGCATTTCAACAGACACCTTAAAAACCATGATATATATGTGTGTGTACACACACACACACACATACACATATGGTGCTTTACAGGGAAGGAGGGAACTGGTCTCTGAGCCAAAGAATTTATAATATATACACGCATGCAAAGCAGACAATAGGAGTAAAATAAAATTGTACTTGGAAGAAACAGACTGGATTGGATTACATATTCTGGTTAAATTAACTGTTCTGAGTGATTAGTTGGTGATCTCTTAAACTTTCTGGAGACTGTTGTCTTGCAATCTTCTCATGAGAAGCAACTGTCTGGAGAATTTGTGGGTGATCTTAAGTCCTCTCCTTGTTTGGAAAGGAATTACAAAGAGGCAGTCTACTCACCAGCTCTTCATTCTGCTGCCGAACTGAAAACCGAAGTCTTCAGTTCATCTTTTTTCCCAGGGAGTCCCAAGGAAAAAAAAGAATAAAATGAGATTAGACTTGAACATTTGGAGCTTGAGATGCTAATTACACATTCAAGGGTAAGCATGAAAGAGGCCCTTGAAGATTAGAAGTCCAGAAAAATTCTGGAACAGAAGGAAACATATGTATTTTGTCAGAATATCAATAATTTTAATTTAACTGGATGTGAAGGTCTAGAAGTAGTTAAGTGCCCTTCTGATTGAAAATGATTTGCACTACTGTCCAACATGTCGGGAGGGGGGGAGGGAGTGGCATCAGATGTATGGATAATGCAATCAACAGCATATTTCAGGAAGAAACACTGAAAATAAAGGAAACTGTTGATTAAATTAGTAGAGAGTTATAGACTATGCTGTATTTTCTTAATTAGGGGGAGAACATGGAGCTCTGTTGTAAAACCCCAATATCCTACAGACCTAATCAGCATGACTAATGAAGTTGATGGGAGCTGAAATCCAAGAATGCGTTGTTCTCCCTGCGCCAAAAGAAATGGTCATTCTAGCAGTAGAAAACCAAGTTGGTGCACAACCAAAATCCACTATATTTTTCTATTCATACATATACAGTATGCAACTATGGAAAGCGTTTCAGGTATGTCAACAGAATATTGAGAAATTCATTCCAAGATCAAATTCAGAGATGCAGAATTTGAAAGAAAGGAACACGAATAGATCTTCAGAGAGTGTCAAGGGATGAAAGCTGCAGCGAACAGAATTGGCATAAACAGAGCTGGTCTGAGAAGGAGCCACTATGCTAATGCTGCTTGCCGCAATTTTTCTTTCTTCTTTTTAAAATATTTTTATTTTATTATTAAAATATTTTTAATACCTCAGACAAAGGTTAGGCAGGCAGATAGGCAATAATCATAATTATTTAACTGTTCTAGAGTTAAAACGGGTTTAAATGGGCCTGGTGGCGCACCTGGCTAATAGCCTGTTATTAACATTCAGCTGCCTGCAATTACTGCAAGTTCGAATCTCCCCAGGCTCAAGGTTGACTCAGCCTTCCATCCTTTCTAAGGTAGGTAAATTGAGGACCCAGTTTATGGGGGCAATAAGCTGACTTTGTATAAATATACAAAAGTATGAAGGCTATTGCTTAACGCATTGTAAGCTGCCCTGAGTCTCCGGAGAAGGACGGCATATAAATCAAATTAAAAAACAAAACAAAAACAAAGCAAAACTATCAGCATCAAAAGAATAAAAATGGATGGTTTTTTACCCACACTTGTGATGGCTTCATTTAAGTTAGTTTCAAGTGCAGGTGGACACAGTGGCTTTTGTCAGTGTAAAATTGTACATGTTGACAGCTAGATTATGTTTACATTTGGAGGCACAGATGTAAAACACTGAACAACAGGTAAACACCAGGTAACAAAATGCTAGCAGAAGAAATGCTTACCACCACTGAGAGAGTGAAATCATTCAGGCCAAAGTCTGAGTTTATTTTGCTGCATCCAAATCTGTGGCAGAGAATGAGGTGAACAAAACATCATTTTTCAGAAGTTTTTTATATTTTATAAGCAGCAATTCTGTAGTGTTTTGTAAGGTAGGCCAGTATTTTAAACTTATTATGCAGAAAGGGAACTGTGGCTGAGTAAGAAGAATGAATCTCCTAAGGATTTCAGGGCTGAAAAAAGATTTCACTCAAAATATCATAATTTGTTTTTTTTTTTAGGTTGGATAATACATCATCACTTCTCATCTGTCAACCCCCCCCCCCCCATTCTTTCTTACTCTTCATTGCTTTGCTGACCTCTTAGTAGAAAAGCTTCAGGAGGTCTGTAACTGCTGGAGAGAAATGTCTGTTCAAGCCTAGCTTCCACCATAAAATATGTTGCTTAACTTCCATCACTGCTTCCTGACTCCTGTCACTGAATTGCTCCTTGGTTAATTAGGAACATCTTTCTTTTACAGCAATACACAAATCCATTCTGCCCTATTGCCATTCAGGATACAATGCCCAAGACCGTTCAGGATACAATGCCCTCCCCCTTTCTTTCCCCAAGCCCCTATGATGTGTCAGATGGTGTCAGCTGTTCTTTGATGTCGGCCTCTGTCACACAGAGACAGAATTTTTGACTGCACCTTAGAAGAGCTTAAGGATCAGGGGCTAACAGTGCCGTTCCCCCTTCCTTCCTGCTGGATGCAGCCTGTCAATCTTCCACTTCTGCGCAGAGAGCTGAGCCCACCCACAGCGTTTTGCCTGCTGCCACGCTTTGTCACAGCCGTCTCCAAACTTGATTTACGCAGCCTCCAACCAGATCAGCGGATGGAAAGACTGTTTTGGGCATGTGAAGGTGTGACTGTGGACATTTAAAGAAGTGACATGAATGTCTGTGGGCTCAGAAGGCAAATTATTCCATTGCCACTTTGACAAGCATCAGCTGGAACTTCTGTTAAGTTCCTCCACTTAGGAATCCTTGTCCTTGCGCTGAGCTTCTCTTGTCTTTGCTTGATCACACCTGTAGGAGACCAATGCTAGCAGTCAAGCGGAGCACTGTAGCCTAAGACAAGGCAGGCTGATTTCGGATTCCTCTGTTTGCCGTCTTTCACCCATACCATCCGACTGGAAGATACAGCAGGCAAAGAAATGGCTGTAGAGAACGCAACCAGGGTCTCTTTCCTAAGGAATTCCTCCAGCTTCCCTGTCAGGAATGAATCAAGTAAGTTGGGGATGGAGAGGTTTGCATGATAACTTAAGCAGATAACTTTTCGGAGAATGCAAATACAGGATTAGCTCCTGGAAGATATTGCATTCTCAGCTGTACTCTCAGCATTCAACCCTTCAGGGAGATTTAGCAAATACCAAATTTGATGATTTGACAATTGCTGCTCTAATTTGGCATTTCATTGCAATTCTTGCCCTTTTAACAAATGGAAACAGTTCAGTTCCAAAACACGGAAAGAAAGAAGAGAACATTTTTTTTTAACTTGTAGAGGCTGACTTTTAGGAATATATACATTGGGTGCCCTAGCCACCTTGTATCTAATATCCCCTCTCTCCCTCTTCCCCCACCCCCGCCCCTCCAGCAATACAATAGATTGGGTAAAGGGATTCATTTCATCACCAACATCCATGAACAGCACCCTCGGATAGCTGCTTGATGTTTTCTGCAGGAAGGCATGTTATTTGCTTTACAAAAAGCTAAAAGGATGGAAATTGATGGAGGAGGAGGGAGAGAGAGGGAGGGAGAGAAAAGCTTGTTTAAAAAGCTGGCAAAGCAATTTCTGAACATTTTAGCAACTGTTTTCAGTCTTATTTTTATTTGAAACATTAACTCTGTTTACCAGCTTGCTTTTTATATAAATTTAATAGTTCAGCTCAATAATAATTTAGAAATTAAAGTCCTAAAAATTTCAAAGGACTTACTTCCAGATAAAGAAGTAAAGAATAATAGCCTATGTATATTGTTGTTTAATGCTTTGGAAATAAATTGAAATAAATTATTTGAGCTATGTAATACAGACCATTAATGGTTCAGAAAGTAATTTCCTAGCATTTTCTGATCCATAGGTAAACAAATAACAGCAATTTTCATGTAGTAGAAGAGGTAATATTAAAACCCAAGTTTAAATGTGTGGTTACACTATAAAATGATGACACATGTCATAACTGAATGCATAAAACACTTGTAATACTTTATCAGGAAGTCAAACTGTCATCCTAGATGTGCCTGTTAGGAAGCAAACACCCCCAAAACTGACCAGGTTTACATTTGAGTAGAATTTTTCTATGACTAGCTGTAAGTACTATTTCTATGTTTAGGATCCTGAAATGCATGAAATAACAAGCTTTTAAGAAGGATGAGATAAGATTTAATTAAAACTATGGAGCAAAGACACTCACATTAAAAAAAGAAGGGGTACCATGGATATAGCATGCACTTTAAAATGAGAGGGGGAGACAACCCACAATCAATTAGAGGTGCATCTTCTTTTTGGAAGCTCCTGGAGCACATCACTGAATTTTGGATGAAGTTGGAATTTTTGGTATTTCTTTGGAATTGTTGGAAACAAGATTAAAGTAAAAGTGTTCAACTTCTAATGGCTTTTAAATACCTGTTTCAGTTAGAATTTTAATGGAAAAATAAATAAATAAATGGAGCTAAGCATTCCAGCTCTTTCCCAGTTATACTCAAGCACTGTTTTCACCTCCTAGAAGCTCTCCTCCCCACCTCCAATTAAAAAGTACATTCTGATCCACAAAATGTTAATATAACCCTGCAGTCTTGATCCAAAAATATCCCAATTTAGATCCTTTATTCAGCCATGAAATGTTTGAATTGATTATTACCTCTGGTTCATTTTCTGGATTGATCACCTCATTTAGTAGATTGAGCACTACCTCTAGATAGATCACTACCTCTAATTAATCACTAATTACTTGTATCAGGTAATTCTTGTAAAAGAATAGGGAAGAACTACCTACATGCTCCACTTTTGGGTAAGAGTGACAGGACAAAAGGGACATCTGGATCTTGAATTACAGCTAATCGTAGACCTTTTGAGTAATCATTAAGCCAATTCATCAGAATATGAACCTCAAGGCACAAAATAGGACTTCCTTCTGAGGAAGATGGCCAGGTATAAATCCATACATATCCATCTTCATAAAATAATAACTCTAAAACAAAAAGCACAGGCTTTTTTTTTTTGGCTCATTTGTTTAATTTAGAAGATGCCATAGCAGTTATTATTATAGGAAGAAAGGGCAAACATTTTTTTAAAGACACTTGCTACTTTATTAGTATTAAAAATACATATATATATATTTTAAAAAACAGAAACCTAGGTGATGTATTGAGGACATATTTTTATCAATTGGTTTTCTGTGAACATTTTAAGTGCTAATCAGTTAAAGATAATAGCCCTAACAATTTAAGAAAAGATTGCAAATGACAAGTGAAAGAAGAGTTTAGATGAGAGAATTGCCTTGGTTCCATATTATTTCCTCTTCCGGTATCCATATGACAGATTATGTATTATTCGTCTTCTCATAGAAATGTTACTTATGGCACTTTCCATACAGCCATACTGCAGCTCTCAACAATACTTCCAACCAGAAAAGTGGATCCTTCCATTCTACTGGAATATTATAGGCTACACAGTCTAACTATCTACTGATGCTAACGAGCTCTAACAATTGTTGATCTGTCATGACTATCTCAAGAGAAATAAATGCCCTTATTTCTCAAGCACCGTGCTCAGCTCCCAAAAAGCTCCATTAAATGGCAGGCCAAACAAAACACACAGATTTGTTGCTTTCACCCATGATGTTTTAGATGTACCCTTTAAACATTGTAAGTAATGTGTGGTTTGTTTGTTTTTCATATGGTATTTACTTGGACAAACTTTGGGGGACTGGAGATTGTACTGAATATTTTTGGAGAGGGCATGGACTGCCTGTGAACATTATGTGAACCTTATGCCACCAGGCATAATTTTGGGATTAGAAAATTTAGAATTATGCCGCCTTTGGTCTGACCTAAGCATAGTACACAAAATAATCTGCTACAATGTCCTACCTGTCAATGACTACTTCAGTTTCAACCGCAATAATACACGAGCACACAATAGATACAAATTCAAGGTAAATTATTGGTTCATTGGTTCGATTTATATGCCGCCCTTTTCCAGAGACTCAGGGCGGCTTACAATGCGTTGAGCAATAGCCTTCATACTTTTGTACACTGCTCAAAAAAATAAAGGGAAGACAAGCAGAAGATATCCGAGATCTGCATGAATGAAATAGCCTTATTAAAATACTTCGTTCGTTACATACAGTAGTTTTGTGTTCCCTTTAGTTGTTTGAGCAGTGTATAAACTACTGTATGTAAAGAACAAAGTATTTAATAAGGCTATTTCATTCATTTAGATCTCGGATGTCTTCTGCTTGTGTTCCCTTTATTTTTTTGAGCAGTATATATACCTGCTTAGTAGGGCTTTCGCCCCCACCCCCCAGCGGTGTTCTTTTTTACACAAAGTCAGCTTATTGCCCCCACAAACCGGGTCCTCATTTTACCTACCTCAAAAGGATGGAAGGCTGAGTCAACCTTGAGCCTGGTGAGATTTGAACTTGCAGTAATTGCAGGCAACTGGTGTTACTTAACAGTGCTTTAGTCCGCTGCGCCACCAAGGCTCTTGGTGCAAACTCGATTGCAGAAAATACGACTTCTTCAGCCACAGAATGGTCAATGCCTGGAATGCACTACCTGACTCTGTTGTTACATCCTCAACCCCCCTTAACTTTAACCTTAGACTGTCTACTGTTGACCTCACCCCATTCCTAAGAGGGGCGTGCATGAGCGCACCAACATGCCTACCATCCCTGTCCTAATGTCCCCCTTTATTCGTATCCATTTCATGCATTCATAGTTATGTTTATACTTATATCTGTTATCTTACGTGTTTGACAAATAACCAACCAAACAAACAAACAAACAAGGGCATACAATGATGGTGAGTGAAGACAGAGCTGAACTGTTCTGATGGGCTGCATTTGAGGACCACATCATTTATCAGCTTTCTATGTTTTCTCTCTTAAGATGGCAGCAAACTATACTGCTGATATTTGGAAATGGTGGCAAAGAGATGCTTCAGGAGGGGGCATTGATCACATCTTGCTACAGGGCCTAAAATCACCCATCCCTACCAGGATATACCAGTATATGTTAGGTGAAATCTAAGTGAAGTCTGATTAGGCAGCTTCTGAGGATGGAGAAGAGATATAATAATTGTGTGCCATAGAAACGAAACAAAATGAAACAAAATGGAAATGGAAACAGAGTTGAAAGGGACCTTGGAGGTCTTCTAGTCCAACCCCCTGCTCATATATACCATTTCAGACAAATGATTGTCCAATATCTTCTTTAAAACTTCCAGTATTGGAGAATTCACAACTTCTGGAGGCAAGTTGTTCCACTGATTAATTGTTCTAATTGTCAGGAAATTTCTTCTTAGTTCCAGGTTGCTTCTCCCCTTGATTAGTTTCCATCCTTTGCTTCTTGTCCTGCCCTCAGGTGCTTTGGAGAATAGCTTGACTCCCTCTTCTTTGTGGCAGCCCCTGAGATATTGGAACACTATCATCATGTCACCCCTAGTCCTTCTTTTCATTAACTAGACATACCCAATTCCAGCATATACCTTAAGACTTTGATGTCACAGTAATCTTGCTTTGAGCCAGTCCTCACCTGGCATGACGAAGTTAGCTTCATTGATTCAAGATGCTTGTCACTTAAATACTTTTTACTTTCATGATACATCATTATGGACTTTGGTGAATTTCAGTCTACTTCAGCATCCTATTCTCACAAGCTTAATAAGCAGAGACAAGAACTGACAGGAAAGCTTGGCAGCAAACCCAATTTAGTTTTCTGTTAGCATACTAAGAATTTAGCAGCTCCTCCTCCTCCTCCTCCTCCAGAAAAGGACTAGAACTGAGAAATATCTAGAGGGAGAGATGGAGAGAATTTTCATCTTGCTATTTAAAATAAACTTTCTTCCCACGACATGTATTTCATTTTTATTTTATTTCATAAATAAATTGTTTGGAGTTTTGTTATATGCATCTACTAAACCTTGGTGGTTAAAAAAAACAGGCATCAGGACAAACAGTTAAGTCTACATACTTTGCTCTAAGATATAATACTAAGTCTACTTATAAATGGTAAAATGTAAAGGTAAAGGTTCCCCTCACACATATGTGCTAGTCATTTCTGACTCTAGGGGGCGGTGCTCATCTTCATTTCAAAGCTGAAGAGCCAGCACTGTCCGAAGATGTCTCCGTGGTCATGTGGCCAGCGTGACTAAGCACCAAAGGCGCACGGAACACTGTTATAGGGGTGGTCCCTATTTTTCTACTTGCATTTTTTATGTGCTTTCGAACTGCTAGGCTGGCAGAAACTGGGACAGGTAACGGGAGCTCACCCCGTTACGTGGCACTAGGGATTCGAATTGTTGAACTGCCAACCTTTCGATTGACAAGCTCAGCGTCTTAGCCACTGAGCCACCGCATACCACTGAATGGTATTGGGGTGAAAAAATATTTTTTCTTCTTTGTCTAAATGAAGCCTACCATTTTTTGAATGCCTTCCTTTAGTTAAAAATGGATATCCTGCCAATCTATGCGAGCGCTGGAACTCAGTATTCTGCTTGCACTCCAGATGGCACTGTGGAAGGCAAAGATGGGCTGTGATAATTCTTGACTTTTATTGTTGAATGAGAGCCACAGATGCACAAATCAGAGGAACCCTGTCTTTTCTATTAAGCTACATTGGATGAACTCTCTTAGTGGACTCATGTGCATTTCACGTCCGCTTGGCTCATAAAATTAAGCACATGAAAGTTTTCTTAGCATAGAAATGAGCTCCCAGTCTGATTAAGACTGGACTCCAGATGCCTCAGATCCAAATATCCCGTGCCTTCAGAAGAGGAATTGGCAGATATCTGCCACTGCTAATGGAACAGAAAACTTATTTCCTTCTTATTTCCTTCTGTCATACAGTTGTTCAAGTCACAGGAAATTTCCTTGGAAAAGGGAAAGGAAATCAAAGAACACTAATTATGTTAGTGTTCTTTGTTAGTGAGCAACAAAGATGATTAGGGGACTCAAGGCTAAAACATATGAAGAACAGTTGCAGGAACTGGGTATGTCTAGTTTAATGAAAAGAAGGACTAGGGGAGACATGATAGCAGTGTTCTAATATCTCAGGAGTTGCCACAAAGAAGAGGGAGTCAAACTATTCTCCAAAGCACCTGAGGGTAGAACAAGAAGCAATGGGTAGAAATTAATCAAGGAGAGAAGCAACTTAGAACTAAGGAGAAATTTCCTGACAGTTAGAACAATTAATCAGTGAAACAACTTGCCTGCAGAAGTTGTGAATGCCCCAACACTGGAAATTTTTGTGTTCATAGGAGATGAGAGAGATGCCAAACAATGTGTGGCAGAAGAAAAAGAAGTAAACACTTCTCCCTCCTTGGAGGGGGTGGGCTACATGGGTACATGGGCAACAACAACATTGCTAGGAGTCCTGTTTTTCTTTCAACATCCCTTCTGCTTTCAGAAATACTGTAGATATTCATACACAAAATAATAATGTGACCAGATTTCTTTTTCCACTTAACTGTAATCTGTGAATTTTCTATTGCAGCTCACAGAACAGGAAAAACATGTTTATAAAGTAGCTTGAATGCAATCATGTAGACTTGATTATTAATTTGTTTATTTATTAAATTTAGACATCATCACCCCTCTCAGTGTCTAAGTGACTATGGGTGGATTACAGAAATACTGGACAGGTACCATAGGAAAGGGTAAAGATAGTTTCTTTTCAGTTTTACATGGCATTATAGAGAGCTAATCAGAGTTCTCCAGTAACCCCAGGGGCATTTCCTTTGAATTAATAACTAGCTGGAAAAAAAATTATTCTAGTTCAGACGCCACTGAAATGCTGTCAGTTCAGTACATGATAGTAATTTATCTTCTTACAAATTAGCTATGCTGAGACATCTGTTTTTGTAAGATCGACCAGGGAAAAAATGTTCTAACAGAAAAATGGATTGTTCTGTTACATTTGGATGGATGACGTGTTATATCATCGTTGCATCCAGATTGCTTGAAGCATCTATTAAAAAAATAATAATAATCACCCTGGATCATCCACTAAGTAAACTCCTCTGATCTAGTTCTTAAAATTACTGATTAAAACATGAGCTTTTTAAATTACTGTTTGACATGAGGAATACAGATTTCCCAGTGTTTCCTCTTAGCAAACAGGTTTTTATGGTTTTAATAATTCGGAAGAGGAGCAATTCATTAGGCAATGATACTTTTCCATCTCAGGAGCATAGGAAGCTGCTTACAGTTGCTGTGTTCACTTGGCACACTGAAATGGAAACTAAGCACATTTTAGCTTAGTGTGCACTTTACAAATCAACCTTATTTGTTTTAGGGTCCAGTTATTATTTAGAACATGATGAGAACAGGATGGATGAGAAATAAACATACACACATAATCATCATTTAACGACCCCATAATCCCTTGCGGGTGGAGACTGGGCAACTGAATGGAGCTGGCACAGAGGTTTTAATGACTGGATGCCCTTCCTGTCACCAATGCGGAGCTATGTTCAGCAGATATTCTCATTGTGCCCAGAGAGAGAAATATCTGCCTCTATCTAGGACCAAACTCACAGCCTCCTGATTGTGAGGTGAGAGCTCCACCTCTAGGCCACCGCACCACTCTGCTAAACATATACACCAGTGGTTGGTTTCAAATTTTTTTTATTACTGGTTCTGTGGGTGTGGCTTGGTGGGCGTGGCATTGCTTGGTGGGTGTGGCAGAGAAAGGATACTGTAAAATCTCCATTCCCACTCCACTCCAGGGGAAGGATACTGTAAAATCTCCATTTCCTCCTGATCAGCTGGGACTTGGGAGGCAGAGAATAGATGGGGGTGGGGCCAGTCAGAATTTTTACTACCGGTTCTCCGAACTACTCAAAATTTCCACTACCGGTTCTCCAGAACTGCTCAGAATCTGCTGAAACCCACCTCTGATATACACACACAATCCATGTAATTATATATAAAACCTCTACAGGGGTACAGCATGGCCTCATAACTGGATGTCCAATTCTGTTATCGAGGCAATCATCTCTGGTGCTGCTTCGTGCAGATCTTCTAAGGAACCAGAAAATGTACGTCATGAGCAGTCTTGCATAACTTATTTAATAGTTTACATATCAGCACCATAATTGAAACAAGGGGAATCTTTCCATCCCCATTGGTACAGGGCAGTGGCATTTCTTCCAATATCACACCTAATTCTGTTCAATTTTGTCCAGAATGAGGCAGGTTAAAACCAAGTGGTATCAACTATCCAGTTGGCGAATCTAGAAAAAGAAACACCTGGGATATTATTTTACCAAGAGTATAAAACTTTACTGAATAAACCACATTGGCACAGAAGAAGCGAAAACAGCTCCGAGTTTCCCACACAAAAGCAAGCATAGTTAATTCCTCCCTTTCCCTATGGGCCACCCACAGTCCAATACATCCACCAATCACTTCTGTTCATTTTGTTATGGGAAACAACCAGCCACGCCAGGACATTTGCTCAGTGTGTCCTTGAGATGCCAGCAATGTTTCACTCGAAGCTGATGGCTGCTTGGATACCATTCTCCCACCCTTGCATTCCATTCACCACCACTCCCGTTATTATCAAGTGGCAAGCAAAGCAAAAATGTAGGTGAAAGTGCAGTCAACCTTGACACGTGGTTTGGTCGAGGGATCACTAATGGCCAGGACACAAGAAAGTACCTTGGACCATTCCTTTCTCCAGGCATTCTCAGGGTTAGTAGGGGCCAATATATCATGCCAATTGAGACAGTTGGTTTAATTCCATCAGTATAATTATGGATAAATAAAATGTGTGAATAGTTACATTGAACAAATTCTTGGTTTTAATACTGATCAGCAAGAAAGACCTCCCGCATGGATATTCAGTCTGGAATTTTCCATCTTTACTAAAGATGCTAGGGACTGAACGCAGGACTGCTACTGAGTTATGATTTTATCTTTAGTTTTCTATGCCAGGAAAAGCTTCACCTAGTTCATATACATTTTGTCATTAAGCTCCTGCAGACACAGGAGCCTGACATCTCCTGCTTTCTGTGAACCGTTTGAACATTACAAAAGAGATCTCTATATTCAAAATATTACTCAAGGTGGGCATATTTTAGGTTCATGAAAATGAATGATCTGGACAAGAAAGTTCCTGGCAGGGAAATCACTTTGATCCTGTGCAGCCTTTGAGATTAGATGCTCTGACATCTGCTGCTTTCAAATATTTCTGTGCATTCCCCACTTCCCCCAGCTTATTAGAATTTGACTGATTCTGTATTCATGCAATGTAAGCCAGGTGACAAGCATGCTTGGTGGTAGCCCTCACTTTGTGGGACATCTTAGCTCCAAATTAGTTCCGGGAAAGTTCCTTGTGGAACATATTAGTCCCTATTAGTACAGGGGACTCCAAGCCTCCTTGCTGTTAGGAAGCACATTTTATGGGTATTATATGTGGTTTTTCTTGGGTAGCCCTCAGAATTAGTTGAACATAATTTTGAATTGAGGACCCGGTTTGTGGGGGCAATAAGCTGACTTTGTATAAAAAAGAACACCGCTTGGGGGGGGGGGGCAAAAGCCCTATTAAGCAGGAATATACAAAAGTATGAAGGCGATTTCTTAACGCATTGTAAGCTGCCCTGAGTCTCTGGAAAAGGGCGGCATATAAATCGAACCAATAAATAAATAAATAAATAAATAAATAATTCTATTGTGAACGATTGTTCGAACTTCCTTATCTTATTCCCTCTTTTTCTTATTCTCTCTCTCTCTCTCTCTCTCTCTCTCTCCCTCCCTTTCCCTTTCCCTTTCGCTCTCTCTGTTTCTTTGATCAGGATTGGAAAGGACAACTCCCTACACCAATGTGATCATGCCTAGCTTATTTGGCATCATTTGTTTTCTTGGCATAGTCGGGAATCTTATTGTGATCTACACCATCATCAAAAAGAAGAAGCTTCGGTGCAAACAGACGGTGCCTGACATCTTCATTTTCAACCTCTCTATTGTAGACTTGCTATTCCTGCTGGGCATGCCCTTTCTCATCCACCAACTCCTTGGCAACGGTTCCTGGTATTTTGGAGCTCCGTTGTGCACTATCATCACCGCCCTGGACACCCACAGCCAGATTACGAGCACCAACATCCTGACAGTCATGACCTTAGATCGTTACCTGGCCACGGTCTATCCTCTGAGATCTACTTATGTCCGAACTCCATGTGTAGCAACCTTGGTTATCAGCCTGGTGTGGCTCCTCTCATTTCTGACCATCATCCCTGTGTGGATGTATGCAGGACTGATGCCTTTGGATGATGGGACTGTCCGGTGCGCTCTTTTGCTTCCCAACCCTGAGACTGATGTCTACTGGTTCACCATCTACCAGTTCATGCTAGCTTTTGCAATTCCACTGATCATCATATGTGTGGTGTACTTTAAAATGCTCCAGCATATGGCCACCACTGTTGTGCCCTTACCACAGAGAAGTCTTCAGGCTCGTACCAAGAAGGTCACTCGGATGGCTGTTGCCATCTGCTCGGCCTTCTTCATTTGCTGGGCACCCTTCTATATCCTTCAGCTGGCCCATTTGGGAATAGGCACCCCTTCTGTTGCTTTTTTCTATGCCTACAATTTTGCCATCAGCTTAGGCTATGCCAACAGCTGCCTCAATCCTTTCCTCTACATTGCCCTAAGTGAGACTTTTAAGCGCCAGTTTATGGTAGCAATCCACCCAGCCAAAGAACACTTCAGGGTAAACAATCACAACCACAGCACGACGGAAGCCAGTGTGTGCTTGAAGCTTGCCCCAGAATCCACTCAACAGACTCGGTTTTTGGAGGAGTTCTCCCCACGTTCATTGCCTGTGACGGTTGCGGTTCACTAGTGGTCTTTCCTAAGAGATTCATAGTTCTGCTATTTGAAAACCAAGATATGTTTTCCTTCGTAGTAATCCAACACATGATAAACGTGTGGCTTCCTCAGAGCCACTGCTAGGCACAAGTCAATGAGGTGTTAATGGGAGTCTGAAATGTGCAAACGCTAATCGGTCATTTATTATGATACATGAAGAGAAGTGATGAAATAATTGCTGGGAGGACTGGAGGCAAGTATCCACTTGAAAACTATTGAAGAGCCATTGAAAGTCATAATGTAGAAATTATCCCATCGATAACACAAATGACCAAAAAAAAAAACATCCCTCCCTCCCTTCTTTCATATCTATCAACATATTTTATAAGGCATTTGATTCCAGATGATTATGGGTGGTAAACAACAATAAAACATCATTTAAAAACAATTGATGAAGAAAAGCACAATCGCTGTCATGCACACCTCTTCCCAGAGGACAGGCAGAGCGTGCATCATCTCATGGCACATTAGACTCCAGAGGACGTTCCTCTCATTTGCCTGGGAACAAGCTTTATTAAGCGGTATCATGGACGTTATTAGTTCCTGGTTTCTCATTGAGCGAAATAATGTCTGCTTCGTGCCAAATTGCCTTTGCAAAAAATAGTATAAAATCAAATCCATTGTAGGCTTAACTAATCAAGCCTGACATAAACAAAGTGAGGATCTGGGGATGTTTCATTACAGACAGTCCTCTCTTAACAATTGGTTGCTTAATAACCATTCAAAATACAATGGATTTTTAAAAAATTACTTACAACACACACACACACACAGTTGCATTTGGGGCACTTGGCAACTTCCTTGCATTTACAACTGGTTGCAGTTTCCCATGGTCAAGTGACCAGGATTTATTTATTTATTAGTCATATTTCTATGCTGCCCACTCTTTGAGGACTCTGGGCGGCTTACACCAAAGACAGTATACTAAATAGCATATTGCCCCCAACAATCTGGGTCCTCATTTTACCCACCTCGGAAGGATGGAAGGCTGAGTCAACCTTGAGCCGGTGAGATTTGATCCGCTGATCTGCTGAACTAGCAGTCAGCTGAAGGAACTGCAGTACTGTACCCTAACCACTGCACCACCTCGGCTTTGCAATTTTTTTTTTTTTTGCTGTTTTCCAGGAGAAAAACAGCAAAAAGCACCCATTTGATATGCTGGATTATTTACCTACTGACCACCTGATTCGCTCAATGAGCATATGATTCATTTAATGACTGCTCCCTTGCTTCATGGCCATAAAAATGGTTGTAAAATTGAGTCAGGTCACTTGGTGATCCACGTAATGACCACAATGAATTGCAACCAAATTTCCAGGGTCAATTGTGGTGGTAAATCAAGGACTACCAGTATTTATGCCCCTGCAAATAAAAAAAAAACCCAGGAAATTTAGAGCTTCGTGGCACAGAACCAATAGCTCTAATGTGTTTAATGGAAGAAGATGCATTAGCTTAATATAGTGGACACTGTATAAGATCACAGCATGAACAAAAATAGAACAAGAATTCCATAACTGACTCCAGAAATGGTCCAATTCAGCTCAAGTATTATCCATTGGTGTCTCCAGTTAAGAACTTCCTTAAGTGTCTTTCAAATGGATAGATGCCTGGACAGAGAAAGCACTTCTTCTTTCTTAGCAACACTACCCAGTTCAAACAGGCAACATACCTCCCTACATTGCTGCCTATGATTTAGTCTTGAACCATGATAACAGAAATCCTGCAACTTGCTGATGTTCTTCAGCAGTAAGGAATAGCCTTGAAAAAGAGGAGGAAATGTAGCTGCCAAGGCAATGCCCAGATAAGTGGGGCTTAAGTCCATTCAAAAAAAAAAAAACTAATTTCAGAAAACATCTCAGACAGGCCCAGTCCTAGATCACATGATGATAAAAGGAGCTGAGGAGAAGCACATTCACACTTGTAAGATTCTGTATGACAGCTGTTACAATAAAAGTCCTGCCTTTGATGACATTGGATTCTTAGTCTGGTCTACCCTACAGGCCAGGGGTGTCAAACTGGCGACCCATGGGCCAAGTACATCACGCATAGGCCACACCTACCCCAGCTCTGCAAATGGGAAAAACGTTGTTTGTTTGTTTGTTTGTTTATTAGATTTATATGTTGTGAAACATCATGTGATGGCAACATGACATTACGAATTTGACACCCGTGCTATAGGCCTAACACTAAGATATAGGGTAGCATTTCCAACTTAGAACTCTTGCTGCGTTCTTGGCTGTATAGGAGAGTGAGGACTTCATTCAATGCCATTTATTACATTGTTGGAATGCTGCCAGGAGTTTAAAAATTGCACCTGCCAAAATGTCCCCATTTATATACCCATTATAGAAAAGAGTTAGATTCTTTCCCCCCCTTCCCTTCCCCATTACCCCAGCAGGATGTTAATACTTTGAAGAGGTCTCACTGAGCAATGGAGGAGGCGTGGGCGGCCTAAGGCTATCAATTATGGTCTTGTGATAGGAAGGATAATGAAAAGCAGGGGAAACTTTCTTTTTAAGAGAGATTTCATTACTTCATTAAGTTAAACTGAAGTCAAGGGAAGATTCCCCCCCCCCTTTTTTTTTAAAAAGTCATCTTCTTCCAAAAAAGGGTTTTGGTGGAGAGAGGAAATGATCATGATGCTTCAAATAATACCTTCAGCTGTGTTTTTAATTAAAGTACATATGAAGCTTTCTACAGTGCTGAATAAGCTAAGTAATTTGATCATTCCAGCAAATCAGTAGGCTTTGTAAAAGTGATATGAGAGCAAGTCTGACTTAAATTTGGCAGAAAGTAATGGCCATCCTGATTTTTTGCAGCCAAGAACGGGGAGTCCAGCTTGGGTGCCTTGTTTAGAGAGCTCTCTTCTGTTGTGACTGACCGGCACCATGGTCAATCTTGTCTTGTAGTTCAAATCTAATGACACCGCTGGAGAATTACCCTCTCCCCTGAGCCAGGTTTCTGATAAAATTGTGCAGAAAGAAGCTGCACCAGAAGAGAGAGTTGAATTGCTTTCTCCAGAACATAATGAGTGTGATTTCAAATCTGGGACAGGTTAGCAACAACAAATGCTGCAAACTCAGATAGAAAATTGGTGTTGTTGTGTAAATGTTATATTTTATGTTGGTAACCAATTGAAAATGGGAATGTAACTGAGGTGATGTTATATTTTGAATGTGCTAAGAATAAAGGTTGCTAGCTGCTTTTTTTTAAAAAAATCCAAACTCCTCTTTTGGAAGGGGAGGTGGGGAGGAGATACTCAAACACTTTTACTGAAGTTATATTCTCTATCTCCCTACCTACCTTTTGGAATTTCATGAAGTTACCAGGAGTTAACTCAACAACAACAACAACAAAAAGCATTCTCTAACCTCCCTAATTGGTTTATATCCTCCATATGCAGTGAGGAATGGTTTGTTTTGACAGAACTTTTGAGATAATTCAGTGTTGTTGTGACTCATTTACTTACTTGATTTATACGTATCTCTGGGCAACTAGTAGCATTTAAAATCATAATACAAATAACACAACTATAACACAATACATATAATTACAGTCAAGGTAAAAAATCAATTATAGTGCCACAAATACAACTGCTTCACATGCTTGGGATCCCATGTCTTCAATTTTTCTGAAAATCTGGCAGTCAGGGGCAATTTACCCATGTAAATGGACTCTTACATGATAGATTAAATTTTACATATGGCTCAGCTGGAGATCAGGTTGCCACAGCTATGGTTGGACTGGAACCATTATTGGACTGGAAGATCTCCAAGGTTCTTTCCAACTCTTTTAGTCTGTTATTTGGAGCAATAATTTTAATCTTCCCTTTTCCATATAGAAGAGCCAAATCTTCATCTGCACATTCCTAAATTCTATCTCCATAACATAACAATGTTCCCACATACGACATGGAAAGAATATTGTTGTCAACAGGGCTACTATTACTATCATAAAAAATAAAAGAGTTTTGATTTACTCTTTTTTAAATTATGAAATGTACATGATCTTAGGGGTGAGGTAAAAGTTGGGACTGATTGTTTGTGGTGAAGTTTTACTGTAATGTTTTCCAAGAAGCTTGGGAACTACATGCTTAAAATTAAAATCTAAGCTATAAACTGACCAGAAAGTGCATTACAACATAGGTAATCTGTCCAGAACCTTAATGCAATTGTTCTACAATGTTGCTGTAAGGAAAAGTCAGGGTCTACCATAACAAAAGGTCAATTAGTGACATGAAAAAGGATCACCAAGTTATGAACCTGCTGAATCAGATGAAGGGCCCATGCAATTCACCACTTTTGTCACAAAATGGTGACTTAGAAGGATGAGGAAACCCCAAACATGGACAGGAGGTCAATATTGGCTAGCATTTAAAGTTGCATTGCCTGTGATTCAGAAAAGATCTTTAGCCCTTCAAAACAGTAACTACCGGTAGCCTGATCGGTGGTTCGAATCGCTAGTATAGGTTTCCTGTGTGAGCAGAGGGTTAGACTAGATGACCTCCAAGGTCCCTTCCAACTCTGTTACTGTTACTAATCTTCCATGAGTTTAGACCTATCCAAGTTGGTAGTCATCATCACAGATCAGCAAATAGGTAGTCCTCGACTTACAACCACAATTGAGCCCAGAATTTATGTTGCTACATGAGAAATTTCTTAAGTGAGTTTTGTCCCATTTTACGACTTTTCTTGCCACATTTGTTAAGTGAGGTGCTGCAGTTGTTAAATTAGTAACATGTCTCTTTCTTAAGTGAATCTGGCCTCCCCATTGACTTTTCTTGTCAGAAGGTCACAAAAGGGGATCACATGACTCGGGGACACTGCAACTGTCATAAATGTGAGTCAGTTGTCAAGCATTCAAATGTAAATCATGTGACCATGGGCTTGCTGCAACAGTCGTGTGAAAAATAATCATAAGTCACTTTTTTTCAGTGCTGCTGTAACTTTGAACCGGGGTGAAATGCTCCCGGTTCGGACCGGATCACCCGATCCGGTAACAATGGTGGCGGGTGGTTCGGAGAACCGATAACAAAAATCCCTGTCCCCCTCATGCCCAGCTGAGCCGCGCGATCATCAGAGGCTTTTTTTTTTTTTTTACTTTTAAAAGCATTTTTTTGGGCGAAGAAAAAATGCTTTTAAAAGGAAAAAAAACCTCTGATGATCCTGCGACTCAGCTGGGCATGGGGGGGGGGGCAGGGATTTTTGCTACCAGTTCTCTGAACCACCGCCGCCATCGCTACTGGATCGGGCGATCCGGTCCGATTTTTTGGCCAAAGAAAAAATGCTTTTAAAAGAAAAAAAAAGCCTCTGATAATCGTGCGGCTCAGCTGGGATCATCAGAGCCTTTTAAAAGCATTTTTTCTATAACCTCAAGAGGTTGTAAAAAAAATACTTTTAAAAGTTAAAAAGAAAATGGCCACGCCCACCCAGTCACATTACACCCCCCACCAAGCCACACCCACAGAACCGGTAGTAACAAATTTTACATTTCACTACTGCTTTGAACGGTCACTAAATGTACTGTTGTAAATCGAGGACTACCTGTATATTAAGAAGTGCTTTCTTTTGATCAGACTTGAATCTTGCCACATTCAGTTACAATGGATCACTCCACGTTTTAACACTGAGACCAACACCCACCCCCCACCCATATTTTCCATGTCCTGCATCTATTCCTTCCATGTCTCCCCTTAAGGATCAGAATGGAAGTACTTCAGCTCCCTAAATGCTTGCCTTCCCATTTTCATCTTTATTTTGCTATTTTTGATCCCAAATTATTCCACTGAAATCTTGTCACCTTGTTAAGAAATTTTAGCATTCAGATCCTACAGTACTTTGGAATTTTAAATGGGGATCTGGAGACCATATGGATCGCCTGAGTCCCAGATGGCCTACGCCTGGTTTAGCACAAGATCCGAATGCAATTAAAGACGAATGCCATCATTTTTGGAACAAGTGAAGCCTCCACACACTCAAGTTACATTTCAGTCATTCACAGGAAGAAGCCATGAATCTGTTTCCCTGCCCAGTACTCTACCACCTCGTGTCTACTCCTCCTCAAGGTTCATCAGTGCAGTGCTGTAGCCAATGTTGACACATTTAAATTGATTTGGCTGTAGACTTCAGACTGACAAAAAGCAATGTGCAATTTTGCACAATAAGTATTTTCAACATAAGGAATGGAGACCCAGTTTGGTCTCGTGCTTAACTAGGCACCAGCCTAGAAACCAGAGACTGCGAGTTCTAGTCCTGTCTTAGATGTGAAAGCCAGCTGGCCAGTCACTCTCTTTCAGCCCAACCTACCTCACAGGGTGGTTGTTGTGGGGAACATAGGAGGAAGAAAGAGTATTGCGTGTGTTCACCACCTTGAGTT